CACCCCCGGGGCCGGGCGCTGACCGGTCTGTGCCCGCAGGAAGAAGAAGAAGGCGAAGGAAAAGGCCCAGATCCTGGAGCACATCGTGAGCAGCAAGAAGCAGGAGGAGGAGAAGAAGCGCGGGCTGGACAAGCGGACCCCGGCGCAGGTGGCCTACGAGAAGATGCAGGAGAAGCGGGTAAGGCTTTAAAAACCACCCCCATCACCCCTCGGGTGCGGCCGCTGAGGGGCCGCGAGTGCTCCGAGTAACCGGCCCCTCTGTGTCTCCCGCAGCAAATGGAGCGGATCCTGAAAAAAGCCTCGAAAACCCACAAGCAGAGAGTGGAGGTGAGCGAAATCACCCCGAGTCCCTCGGAGCGTGCTTATTATTGTTGGGCTGGAGGAACTATTTCACCTCGTGCAACACAGGCAGGGGGTCTTGTGGTTCGACTTGGTGATGTCAGCACCAAAGGTTAAAACGTTTCCTTTCTCTCTTCCTCCCCCAGGACTTCAATAGGCACTTGGATACTCTGACTGAGCATTACGACATTCCCAAAGTCAGCTGGACTAAGTGACTGGGCTGCTTGTCACGGGCTCTGGAGCAGGAGTTGTGTTTTGTTTGTATCAAGCAAGGGTTGCCATGTAAATGTGTGTGTTCTCCATATTGTCTAATATATCTTCTGAGCGTTTTATGACTTTGTACTGTCTTATTTTATAGCTTTGCTTGTTAAAGCCAAACGTCCAGCAAAGGCTTCTCTTGGCTGAGGAGCTCTGGTTTATGTGGGTGCAGAGGGCTGGTTTTTTATTGTTTAAAATGAGATTAAGGCCAAAATTAATTGCTGCAAGCCAGCTGGAAAATGTTCCTTTATTTGTTCTTTTTTTTTAGAAGTGAAGAGTCTGACAGTCTCGTATTTAAGTTTCTTTTGTAAGTTATGGGAATTATAAAATTCCTTTCTATCAAGTTCTTTCAGAGGTGACATTGCAAAATGTGGAATATGTAAAATTTTCTTAAGGAAGGATGTTCTTTCATGTTTGATCTTTGTATACTTTTAAACCTAATCAACAAGAGGGGAGACTTAATCCAGGGAAGAGAGAGCAGCCAACAAGTTCTCAGTGATGTCCAAGTTTTGATAGTTGGGGTGCTGGATTTGTGGAATACACCGAGCACCCAAGCTTGGCAACTTTGGAATATTTAATCAGTGTCTCTCTTGAGTGTTGCACACGAGGTAACAAATATGATTTTGTGGACAACAGTATTTCTATTCAGACTTCTTTCAGAGGTGAGGGGTCTGCAGCAACTTGTAACTTTGATATAACTTATTAAAGTGCTGGTTTCATCCTTTTTTTTTTTGTGCTGATTTACATATAAAAAACTCAGGGCGAATTTTGTGTGTGAAGTTCTGGAAGGGCCATGCCTGCCTTTACAATTCTCACCCCCTGTGACAGACGACAGGTACCTCGACATTCAAAATCCTGTCGCTCCTCTTCAACTGGAATATTGGAATAATCGGAATATTGTTTTTAACCCGAACTTGGTCCCTCTGGGGAGCTCAGTGTGGGTCCCACCTCAGCCTGGACAGACCCTCGTTCCTCTCCGGGGTCTCTGCCACTGGACCATTCATTCCCAGCGGGAAAAAAAAAAAGGGGAAAACACCCTGGGACTATTTAACACGATGCAGCTGATCACGGTGTCCTTCCGCGGCCGCGGTGCTCCGCGTGTATCTCTGCGCGGAGGCGCGGCCGGTCCCGGGCAGTGACGTCACTTCCGCCGGAACCGCCGGGGGAAGCGGAAGCGGAAGGGAAGGGGAGCGGGCGGGACGCGGCCCGGGCGGGCTCGGGGCGATGTCGGCCAGCGCCGTGTATGTGCTGGACCTCAAGGGGAAGGTGAGGCCGGGCCGCGGGGGCTCTGCGGGGCCGGGAGGGAGCGGTGCCGTGCCCCCGGGACCCTCCGCTCTGAGGGCGCCGCGCGGTGCCCGAAGGGCTGCGGGGGCCGCGCTCCCCTCCCCAGCACCGCCGCGCTGCCACCCCCGGGTGTCCCCGAGGTGCCACCACCCCGGGACAGGGCGCTCGTGGGCCTGTGTCCCCTCGCGATGCTGAGTGAGGCAGCGCGGCCCGCGGTTATTAATCTCTGCCTGAGAGAAGCTCCATGTTTTCCCCTCTTCAAATCGTTGGGGCGCGAGCAGCGATAAGGAATAACCGTGGGAAGCGTTAATGGCGCGACTTCGCAGTGAAATATTGCCGTTTGCGTCCTAATCAGCAAAAGTATTTTGGCGGTGTGATTTGCGTGCAGAGAGACTCGAGGGAAGCCGAGTGATTTTAGAGAGGCCTTGTGTGTTTTTCTGGCGTGGTAACACCCTTATAAAAGAGAAAAAAACCAAGGGTTTGGGTGCTCTCTCCGTAGGTTCTGATCTGTCGGAATTACCGCGGAGATGTGGACATGTCAGAGGTGGAGCATTTTATGCCGATCCTTATGGAAAAGGAGGAGGAGGGGACGCTTTCCCCTATCCTGGCACATGGAGGAGTTCGTTTCATGTGGATTAAACACAACAACCTGTATCGTATCCTTTGAGCTGCTGAAAGGCCAAGGGCTGCTCTTATTTTCTTTATTGACAAAGTGCAAGTTGGAGAATGGCTGAAGTCACATAAGATGAAAAAAAATTTGGTTATCTAATAAAGTTTGTTAAATAAAATAGGTTATATTAAATAAAGTTGATGTATGCTTTACGTAATGTAATGTGCACCAGCAGTATAAGGTGTTTATATTAATTTTACTCTAATAAGCTCTTTACAAAAAGGCATTTCTGTTAATTTTACTCTAATAAATTATTTCCTGGAGGTGTATTTTCCTGTCTCCTTAGATCAGAGGTGCTGTTAAATAATTAACTCTTACTTTTTCTGGCCAACTCTAATTGCCTAAGGGCTTTTTGAAATGCACTTAATAAACCTTTTTTTCTTTTTTTCTTTTGAATGCACTTTTCCTGAACATCCTTTATCAGTTGTTGCAACATCTAAGAAGAATGCATGTGTATCACTGGTGTTTTCATTTTTATATAAAGTAGTTCAGGTGAGTCTGAAATTTTGGAAGTAACCCCTGCTTTCAGTTCAGCCTAAATGTGACCTCAGATAGAAGTGCAAAGAGCTTTCGCATTTTTAAAGAACTCTGACAATAGCATTTTTACTTTATATTTGATTATTTTGTAGAACTATCTCCCTAACCACTTAAAAAGGCACTGATATTTTGTAGCTGAGTAGGCAAAGGATGGGGCAAAGTGCTGTAAGTAGTTGCACAAGACCTGAGCACCCAGAGGAGAATTGTGAACTGGTGCATGAGTAGTGGTGCATCACAGTAGAGCCTGTGTTCGGTTCATCTCTAACCTGGTGTGAAAAATATTTTCTCCAGAATAAATATTTTTCATCACAGAGTTCCTCCTGGGGTTGTTTCTCTCTTGAGTTTTAATTGAGGTGGGTTTCCTGATGCTGTTTGTGGAGTTTGGGGTTTGGTTTGGAGCTTTCTAAAAGGATTATTTCGGGTGCAGGAATACATTCTGTGTGTGCTCTGCTCACTCAGCTCATGTTCTTCTTCTCCCCCTCCCTCCTGTCGTTTTGTTTCAGGTTTTTTCTGAATATTTCAAGGAGCTGGAAGAAGAGAGCATTAGGGATAATTTTGTTATTATTTATGAGTTGTTAGATGAGCTTATGGATTTTGGGTATCCACAAACCACTGATAGTAAAATTTTACAAGAGTAAGTACCATTCTGCATCACAATGACAAAGCCCTCAGAGAGTTTTGAGCATTCTTCTGTGGGCAAACAAATGTTTGGCTTGTTCTAAGTATCAAAAAAGGTTTAATTTTCATTTTGTTTCATGCCAATCCTGTGGCTGGTGAAGGTACATCACTCAGGAAGGTCACAAACTTGAAACTGGAGCCCCGCGCCCGCCTGCCACTGTTACAAACGCTGTTTCATGGAGATCAGAAGGCATAAAATACAGGAAAAACGAGGTGTTCCTGGATGTCATAGAGTCTGTTAACCTTTTGGTGGGTACCTTGAACTTGAACTCTTAGTGAGAATTGTAGTGGGAAGTTTTATAAAGAGCTTTTTGTGTGAAAGTCTGCAATAAAAGGTCAGACTGACTGTGGCTGGTGTGCTGTGCCACACAAAGCAACATCAGTCATTAAAGATTAAGTAGTCTCAGGGACATCCAGTACAAATAATCCTTTAATTGTTTGTATTGATGATTTTTGGATATGTCTTTTCCTTCTCTGTGTCATCGCCTCCCTGATGTAGTTCTGCTGTGCTGGCTTAATTCCTCAGGAGAAACACATCCAAGAGAACCCAGGGTGTGGGGATGGGGTGAGAAACACATCCAGGAAAACCCAGGGTGTGGGGATGGGGTGAGAGTGTTGCTTGATGTCCCAACATGTCACATCAGAGCAGTCTTACCTTCCTCTTTGTTCAGGTCAGTGCCAACGGGAACGTGTTACGG